ATGGATGGATAATGGATGGATGATGGATGGATGGACTGATGAATAGATGGATGAATAATGGATGGATGGATGGATGATGGATGGATAATGGATGGATGATGGATGATGAATAATGGATGGATGGACTGATGAATGGATGGATGATGGATGGATGGACTGATGAATAGATGGATGAATAATGGATGGATGGATGGATGGATGGATGATGGATGGATGATGGCTAGCTGTTTTTTGCTACTTTTCCTTTTAACTGTCATTTTATTTTCACTTGTTAAAAAATGAAATTCGTATTCCTCCTTTTTGATTGTCTGTTATTCACTCTTTTATTTAGACAGGTAAATCCCATTGTTGTTGTTGTTGTTGTTGTTGTGTTTGTTGTCCACTCTTGTCATCGCTTTGTTTAAATCAGGTGTCTCTTGTGGAGCAGTCCTGGAGGCGCAGTGAGACTCACCTGTAGAAATAAAGGTTGGATGCAGCTTGGGTCCAACCTTTGTGTGTGGCGCCCTCTGGTGGTCATCCTGTAAATCGCAGCTGAAATGACGAGCAGAGCTGACAGCTGTTGGTTCTCATCATGTCTGAGCTCAGGCTCAGTGTGCTGCTCTGAACATGGTTTTCATGAAGGTCGCAGAATATAATTATGAGTACTTGATGAATAAATAAATAAATAATATCATACATATAATAAGTAACAAGAGAACTTGTTATAGCTGTTCTCTCCAGCAGGGGCACCAGGGGAAAAGCAGAGTTCTACAGAGAAACCTGGAATATCCTGGCACCACTATTTCACAGAATGCTGCAGGAAACTGAGAGAAATAACAGACTTCCAGAAAATATAAACTCAGCCAACATTAGTCTCCTGTTAAAACCAGGCAAAGACCCTGTATTACCTGCCAGTTATCGTCCCATATCAATGTTGATCCTAAAATAATTTGTAAAGCCCTCTCAAGAAGATTGGAAAAGATAACTCATAATACATCCAGACCAAATTGGTTTTATAAAAGGGAGACATTCATCCACAAGTTCACGCAGATTATTTAATTTAATTGATTATTCTTAGGGCAGCACGGTGGCACAACTGGTAGAGCTGCTGCCTCTCAGCGAGCAGGTCCTTGGTTCAAACCCCGGTCCAGGGGCCTTTCTGGGTGGAGTTTGCATGTTCTCTCCGTGCATGCGTGGGTTTTCTCCGGGTACTCCGGTTTCCTCCCACAGACCAAAAACATGCATGTTAGGCTGATTGATAACTCTAAATTGTCCCTAGGTGTGAGTGAGAGAGTGAATGGTTGTTTGTCTCGTTTGTCTCTATGTGTCTCTGTGATGGACTGGAGACCCGTCCAGGGTGTACCCCGCCCCTCGCACAGTGATTGCTGGACATGGGCACCAGCGACCCCCGTGACCCAAAATGGAATAAACGGGTAAAGATAATGGATGGATGGATGGATGATTATTCTTACAGTAAAAACACTGAAACTGCAATATTCTCTCTAGATGCAGAAAAAGCTTTCAATAGAGTTAACTGGAAATTTTTATTTGCAGCCTTGCATAAATTTGGTTTTGGAAATTATTTCATGAACTGGTTAAAAACATTATATGCTTCCCCATCAGCATGCATTAGGACAAATAATCAAATATCTGCTAGCTTTCTTCTGCAAAGTGGCACGAGGCAGGGATGTTCACTCTCCCCCTCTCTGTTTGCTATTTTCATCGAACCGCTAGCCGCAGCAATCAGGCAGACTACAGATATTAAAGGCATAAAATGCAAGAACAGAGAGCACAACATCAGTCTATATGCTGATGATGTGCTGCTCTTCCTCCAGCATTCACAAACCTCACTCTCTCAGGTCTCTCAGGATTGATAAACTCTTTTTCAAGAGTTTCAGATTACTTTATAAACTGGCTAAAATCCACAGTTCTACCAATTAATTGCTATTTCAACAATTCACTTACTACACAACTGCAGTCGGGGAATATTACGTACTTGGGTATCAAAGTCTCTCCTAGACTGGAAGATTTAACAGAACTAAACCACACCCCACTTTTAAAGAAAACTGAGGATGATCTTGCTGGATGGAAATCTCTACCCTTGTCTCTAATGGGAAGAATTGCTTCAATAAAAATGATGGTTTTGCCTAAAATAAACTATCTATTCTCACTGATCCCAAATAAAGCATCATCTGACTGGTTTAGATCCCTGGACTCCTCCATCTCTAAATTTCTCTGGAAAGATAACCCCCACGTATTAAACTAAAAACACTACAGAAGACCAAAGATAAAGGAGGACTAGAGCTACCCAGTTTTTATTATTACTTTCTAGTCAAACAATCAGTTTTAATGTCTCATCACAAAATGCAGTTTGGAGCAACCCTTTCTCAGCTTCTTCCTGAGGTCCACCATAACATTATGACCCCTGACAGGTAAATGAATAGCACCGTCCTCCTGTAACATGGTGTAGTGCTGCGGGGGAAACGTGTGCAACTTGCCACTCTGAGTTTATGTGTGTGTGTGTGTGTGTGTGTGTGCGTGCGCTCATAAACTGCAGCCTGATTCCCTGGTTTGTGTCTAAAATTCAGTTTCAATTCAGTTTATACTGTACGCCTCGTTTATAATTGTCTGTTGTCCATTGTTGTCCTCACTCTTTGTTAAACCAGGTCTCTGTTGTAAATGAGTCCTCGAGGCTCAATGGGATTAACCTGTAGAAATAAAGGTTGAATGAATGTTTGTACTTATTTCTATCTTAACATGTTTTTTGTCTTTCTTCCTATAGAAAGTACACCTGGACCTGTTATTCTGTTTGTCTGTTTCTACTTCCTGTCCTCTCTGTTTCTACTTCCTGTCCTCTGTTTCTACTTCCTGTCCACTGTTTCTACTTCCAGTCCTCTCTGTTTCTACTTCCTGTCCTCTGTTTCTACTTCCTGTCCTCTCTGTTTCTACTTCCTGTCCTCTGTTTCTACTTCCTGTCCTCTGTTTCTACTTCTTGTCCTCTCTGTTTTTAATTCCTGTCCTCTGTTTCTACTTTATGTCCTCTATGTTTCTACTTCCTGTCCTCTCTGTTTCTACTTCCTGTCCTCTGTTTCTACTTCCTGTCCTCTCTGTTTTTACTTCCTGTCCTCTCTCTTTTTACTTCCTGTCCTCTGTTTCTACTTTATGTCCTCTATGTTTCTACTTCCTGTCCTCTCTGTTTCTACTTCCTGTCCTCTGTTTTTACTTTCTGTCTTCTCTGTTTCTAATTCCTGTCCTCTGTTTCTACTTCCTGTCCTCTGTTTCTACTTTCTGTCCTCTCTGTTTCTAATTCCTGTCCTCTCTGTTTTTACTTCCTGTCCTCTGTTTCTACTTTCTGTCCTCTCTGTTTCTACTTCCTGTCCTCTCTGTTTCTACTTCCTGTCCTCTGTTTCTACTTTCTGTCTTCTCTGTTTCTACTTCCTGTCCTCTCTGTTTCTACTTTATGTCCTCTCTGTGTTTAATTTGTTTTCTGTTTCTACTTCCTGTCCTCTCTGTTCCTACTTCCTGTCTTCTCAGACCCAGCCGGTCGAAGTTCGTCCTGAGCCTGGTTCTGCTGAAGGTTTCTTCCTGTTAAAGGGAGTTTTTCCTTCCCACTGTCTCCTTTGAGCTTGTTCAGGATGGGAGACTAGGAGACACAACCATGAACTCTTGTTAATGTTGCTTCCCAAGACACGTGTTCAACCCCCCCCCCCCCCCCCCCCCATAAAGACAGCTGTTACTGTGAAGTGGCAGACAATCTACTTTATTTTAGTCTAGAACAATACTGAATGCACAACCACACGATTTCTATCTTTATGTTGTGTAAGGCTCTTCAGCCAGTCCCCCCCCCCCCCAGGTTCATATGGTTTGACACAACGACACCCCATTCAGCACAATGTGACATGAGACCAACTAACCTGCAGGTTCCTGATATTAACGACCAATTCCATTTCTTACATCTTGGGTTTTTTATTTGATGAATAATTCAAATAAAAACAGGTTAGTTTCTGAGATCCCAGGTGGATTTCAGGAGGATCCCAGGAGGATCCCAGGTGGATTTCAGGAGGATCCCAGGTGGATCTCATTTGGTGAATACACGTGGAGACACAGTGTCCAGTGATCAGGTTGCACACAGTAGATGCATGTTATTTAAACCAGGTCCAGTCCAGGAACGCTCGCCCTGAGGCCTTAAAGATGCTCCACGTGATGTTTTCAGTCACTCTGGGAACCTGCTCATCTTTCACGTGTCAGAAGATCTTATGATGCCACACTTGATGATGATGTGGGTAGTCTGGGTGGCTCTGAGCTCTTCACACAGGGGGCCTGATAAATGATGGGTCTAACAGAACTCCTGGGGATGTTTAGAACCCTGGAGAGCTGATGGTCTCCATCCTCTAACTTGTTCTTTTCAGTTGTCTTAATGTTGACCATGAGTGATTTATAACAGCAATGAGAAGATGAAACATCTACATAATGTAGGTCGGGGCTCAGAAGGACACAGTGCTGAGTGAGTAGAGCTTCTTGGTGATGAAGAAACCAGAATGCCTGTCGCTGATCACTAACATCACAGTAGCTTCTTGAGTGCCTTCACACTGAGCACTCATGTTCTAACAGGCGGTGGAGAGCATCGATGGTGGGGTCATCATTCATCGTGAAGGAAGACTTCACTTTCACAAACTTTACTTATCACTGCTGCTTGATCCTTCCAAACAGGTTCAGGTCAGACCCAGAATGAGTCCAAGCCACTGAAAGCTGACGTCAAAGTATCTTCAGTATTTCCACATTCCTTACATCACGCACGAACTGATCTTTGAAGATCCCACACAGACACACTTTGACTAATCAGATGTTTAAATGTGAAAAAGTGCCTGGAGGTATTTTGATTCTAGAGTAGACAAAATGTTTCAGTGAAGAATTACCCACAGTTTGACGTGTGGACGGTTTTCAGACGAACATGTGGAGAACTGGACCTGGTCCAACCTGAAAACCCAGAGGGTTGTGGTTCAAACAACTCCATCCGTACGCACGTGAACGTACTGGAGTCCATTGTTGCATAAGTCTGTAAAGAGGAACTGAGACCTTCACAAGGTTCATGAACACGGAACATTTCCTTCAGCTGCGACGAGTAAACCTTCATGTGTTTGTGCTTAAAAGCTGAACGGCTCTTTGGAGAAACAAGTCCTGCAGAGATGGACCCCTGAAAGAACCAGCACGCAGGAAGAAACACGGTTGTTCCATTACATTTACAGCAGAAGCTGGGGCCCTTCACTGTGGATGACAGAAGCTGGGGCCCTTCACTGT